CGGAATTGAAGTATTAATTTCGAAAAGACACTTGGGTTTAATTTATCTTGTCCATCATGATAAAAATATATCATTCTGATTAAAAAGAAAATGAAATTTAAACAATTTGAATTAAAAAAAGATTGCATTTTTTCTGAGGAATCTTAGAAGAATTCCATCTTTCTGTATATCTTCTACTGATTAAAACAAAGTTTAAACTAGTGAAAATATTTTATATTCTGAATACAGCAATTTTCCTAATAAAATAAGATTTGTTTACAAATTGCTCTATTAAGTCATGAGATGTATTTTAACGTGTTGTAAAAAAAAATAAGTGAAAAGGTATGTCTAATATGGGATTTTTATGAATGCCTTGTGTGTGATGTAACTAAAAAATATTATTGACAGACATATTTTTGAAAGGTATAAGTCGGCTTGATTGATAAAGATTTACATCCCGCTTTATTTTGATATTTACAATAAATAACTCATCAACTGCTTCTTTTTAAATGAATACTTTTATTTCTTTTTTTTAAAAAAAATGCAGGAAAACTTGTCCAAAGCCTTCAAAATTCTCGCTTGTTTTGGAAACTGACTGGGTCCCATATGAAGTCTGTGGATCCTGTTTCTATGAAAGTGGATGTTGTCTATACATATGATGTAACGAAAATATCCACGAATAGATTTCAAACCGGTACATTTTGTTTTAAAGTTATGAATAATCAGTTCTTGTAAATTTAGTTTAATAATTTGTACTGCATATATATATGTACCATACAGAATGTTAGACTTATAATATTAAATTTAGTTAATAAGAACAAAGACTGTGCAGCCATACTACAGAAAATCCCGGTCGGAAAGGAAGGGATGGTGTATATACCATTTATCCAGATGGAATACGAGGGAAGAGAGTGTATTGTGACATGACAACAGAGGGAGGGGGTTGGACGGTATGTTAACTGTTAATAGTTTCATGTTCTTTGTTAACATATAAATAATTTCATTAGAACTATAAAGTCATCTTCATTTTTCAGCGCATGTACATGTTTATTAATGAAACTCCTTCATGTCAAAGCAATTCGAAGAGACAATTGAAAATTATTTCAGGTTTTACAAAGAAGACAGGACGGTTCTACAGATTTTTACCGGACTTGGCGAGAATATAAACAAGGATTTGGGGATCCCTCTAAAAACTACTGGATTGGTAAGATAAGTTTATGTAACATTTAATATCTAAGATATTTTTTAGATGTGTGTAAACCATTATCTCAACCATTTTTAATGAATTTTAGTAAAGACCTGCTAATATTTCTTTAAAAAAACCTTGTTTTTTAAATTTTTTTCTGAAATAACCTAGACCAACTAATAAGGATCTAACTAATAGAAAGACACATGTATATCTATTTTATTGCATGCATTGAGTACTTGGATTGGTTATCTCAAGCAAAAATAAAAAAAGCAGTGCACTATAATTTTGAAAGTTAAATACATATAATAGTTAATCAGATTAAAGTTAAGTTTTCAACTAAAAAAGACAAAGTACTCACCATAATCAATCACGTATCAAAGTGTTTATATTAAAAAAATTGATATTGATAAATCAGATATCCATAGTATTTTACTAATATTTGAATACTGTTCGTTACCTCCATTTTCTTTTTATTATTACTTCATGTGCGTACATTTCTTATAAAGTAAACAACATATATAATTTCATCATTACTTAATGCATTGAGATTCCTAACGAAATATTACAGATGGCCTTGTAATGAAAATAAACATGAAGTAAAAAAATATATTAAGGACAGATGATACAAACAAATTTTTTCTTTGAAAAAGATTTAATATCATGTTACAAAGTTAGAAATGTGAATTGTTCTTAGAATTTTTTCTCCTAAGAAATGGAATATGAAAAAGACTTGGAAGTTATTAGTAATATTTCAATGAAAAAACAAATATAGACAAAACACATTCAGTAAAGGTTTACAGGTGAAACCAAATTTCAGAATATGTTAACATGGTGCTAAAAGTGTAATATAAACTGAAGAAAAATATGCCAAGCCAGGTGAATTTTATTAGGAAAAGCTAAATGGTAAAGATCAGCCTATTTGATATCGCTTATTTTTCGCAATTTTGATCTTCCTCTTAAAATTCACATGGCTTGGTATATTTTCTAAAGTTTATATTATACTTTTAGTGCCAAGATAACATATTCTGATTCTGAACCATTTGTTTTCACCTGTAAACCTTTACTGAATGTGATTTGTCTATATTTGTTTTTTATTGAAATATTACTAATATTTTCCAAGTCTATTTCATTTTCCAGTTCTTCGGAGATTAAATTCTAAGAACCATCCTCTTTTCTAAACTTGTGACATGATATTAAATCTTTTTGAAAGAAAAAATTTGTTTGTATCATCTGTCCTTAAGCTACAGCATTATTAGTTTTAGAATAAAATTTTACTTCTAGAATTTCCCTATTGAATTTATTCATATACCTTTACATGTTGTTAAAATGTATTTTGATAAATTGTTTTTTTTTTGTTTCCATAATTCACATTCATATAACTGGGATGTTCCAAGAAATTCAAGTGTTCTGCTTCGTTGATTACTGTGAAAGGTGAAACAGGCTAACCCATCATTAACATATTCTACAATGGTCTGTCCAGTTAGAGCGATAGTAATTTAATAGCGTTTAATTCTATCCCTGATAGGTTTTTAGTTTATTTTATTTAAAATAAAAAAAACGGGATATCTGGTAATCTTTAATGTCTGGGACCTGTTTATTTGTTTGGGATTTTGTACGGAGTCTCGCGATATTTTCGAAGCCTCTCCACTTCTAAAACTTTACTATAGGTCGGTAACAACGATTTGGATTGCTGTATATCAAATGAGTAAATAGTGATATATGTACAAATAAATACATGTAGAGTTAAGTATATTAAGAACGTATTTGACAAATAATTCAATCAAAATAAAAACAACCGCCGCTTAACTTCATTGAATATCCCTAAAGCTTTATCAGTAAATGCTTGCATCAAAGAAACCCTGTTCTTACATGCAAGTAAACAATTAATCCGCATACAAAAACTATAGTTAAATATGCTGTTGCTATTTTCTTTTATACATTTAATGTATTAAAGAGAAAATACGGATCTTGGATACGCTAATTAATTGACAAATTCGTACTTCAGATTTTAAGAGCAGTTTTAACGTGGCCGACCAATTGAAATTGAATTCTAATATATTTTTTAGCATTGAGATATAAGGACAGACGGGCATTGAGACAGCTAGGAGACGAAAAATTTCTCTCATATAAGATGACGACAGGAAACTCGTGATGTTAAAACAACCAAAAGTTTGCTAGTTGACGAAAGTGATACATTTTCTTTGAATTGTTAAACAAACTAATATAAACGTGAATCAAAAAGTTTACCAATCTTGTTGATGACAGAATGTTTAGGGATAACGTTTACAATAAAAGTCTTTCAACAAATGTTAACGCTTTTAACAACTAGATCCACAAAAATATAACGCAGGCGAGGATCTAAAGCAGGGGCTGATCTAAAGCAGGGGGTGGATATTGGATTTTTTGAGTTTATTGAAGTAATGTAAAGTAGCAAAAATTACTCTCGATAAGCTGTTAACGTCTTTATGGGTTTTGACTTCAAAATATTTGTATTTGTTCAAATGAGGTGAACACACTCATAACAACCTTTCACCCTGGAAAATTTTCCTCGATATGCTCATTTAACACAGTTACATTTTAATGTATCCAAAAAATGAAAATAATCTTTCCTTTTTTTTTGGGGGGGGGGCAAAAACCTGCATGACAACATTTAACATATGTTTCTTTTCTTGAAAGAATGTATACGTTTTAAAAGCATGAAAAGTGTTGGGAAGATAATATATGAATGAAAGTATTTACCATTCAATAACAAAAGACTTCATAGCTAGTATTGTAATGAAAATTCGGTTTGAGGAAAAGATTTCTGTTCCTGAAAGAAAGTGAAAAACATTACCCTGTTACCTCGTGTGTAAAACACGAATTTGTTGGATGTCTTCAAACCACAAAAAGAAGGAAACGTAGCCTCATTAACATTAACGAATTTTACTAACGCAAAAGAAACATACATCATTAAATCTCGATTAAAGCAGAATCCCCCTAAAGAAGAAACTATTGGCTTAAAAAAGCACTTTTGTCAACAGATGATTTAGAATATTTGTGCAACTTCATCGTATAAATTATCTAAAACAGACATGTGCAAAAGAATATAATTTATTCATGTAGTACTTGTACTTAGTTATGGAAGTATTTCAAGTATTAACTAACTTTTAAATTAGACAACTTTAAAAATAAGAAATCTTTATATGACAAGGATTGTTTTTTCTAACATTTGGTTTTCAAATTTATATAACATAATTAGCAAATTATTGCAGTAAAACAAAGTAAGAGTTCTGATATTTCTTTGAAAGGAAATAACGCAATCTATCAGCTGACAAAGAAGAAGGACCAGGTATTACGAGTTTGGCTTCAAAAATTTAATGGCGACGAAGGATACGCTCAGTACACCACTTTTTATGTCGGGAACGAAGGCAGTAAATACAAACTCACTGTGTCGGGATATTCAGGAACCGCAGGCAGGTATTTTTAAACACATCTTTTTATTATTATCCAGCACTGTAATATGATGATAAGATGATTGCAAATGTCTAGTAAAATTAACATAATTCTAATTCTAATTATTTTTATTATTATACTCGGTAATTACAAACCTAAACAATATTGACAAAACCTGCAATTTCTCGATATCTCACTAATTCAGAACATTTAAAGCTTAGTGATATAAATCTAGGTTACGTAGTAAGATTAAAGTATTTAATGTTAACACGTATCTTTATCTATACCAATACTTTGTACATACAAGTACACACAAGTACTCTGTAGTTGACATTAAAAATATGCTAAGGTTTCTGACTGACAATATCTATGTGGTTTTGGGGGACCAGGTCTTCAAACAATCTGTTGGAATTCTTATGGGTACCAATTGTGCCCCTTTATTAGCAGACCTCTTTTTGTATTCAAATGAAGCAGAATTTGTCCAAAATCTTATGCGTGAAAAGAAGAAAATACTTTCTGTGGTTTTCAACTCGAAACTTAGATATATAGACGACGTATTGTCAATAAACAATGGTTACTTCCATTTTTATGTGGATACGATATACCGGTATTCTGGTGAGCCTGAGATAAACGATATGACAGAGTCTGACATATTTGTTTCATATTTGGATATTTTATTTGAAAAAGACGTTAATGGAAATCTAACAACCAAGCTTTATGATAAACGTGATGACTTTAACTTTTCAATCGTGAACTTCCCTTACTTATGCAGCAATACACCTTCATTACCTGCATACGGGGTTTTAATCTGTCAGTTGATTCGATATGCAAGAGCTTACTCTACGTATGTGCAATTTCAAAACGAGGGAAATTATTGACAAGCAAGTTGATGAAACAAGAATATCAGCAGTTTTATTTAAAGTCATAATTTCGTAAGTTCTACGATCTATACAATGACCTTGTCAGCAAAAACAATTTATCATTGAGTCAAATGATGACTGATGTTTTTCATACTAATTGTTAGGCCATTATTTATACACTGAATTTACACATCGGATTGTTCCCAATCATGACAAGGAGCGCACGGCTGCTGTGACCTGTGAGTAGGGGAAGCTCACTCCTCCATGGCACCTGATCCCACCTCTGACGTTTTAGAGGTCCTTGTTTGCACAGCTCCTATTTTGTATTGTGTAATGGACTTTGAGCTTGAATACTGTTTGTTATCTCCATATATTTCATTCGACTTATTTTTATAGTAAATGAACTAAAGATTTTAGACTAGAATAGAGTTAACGAGCAAAAGAATTAAGGTTAGGGGAAACTCATTTAACAAGATGTTACATAAAATAGCTTAAGATTGTACAAAATTAAACTAGGTTGACGTTTTTTTTTTTGCTACAATAATTTTTCATTTATTAGCATTAGACTTCCTCCATTTCAGGTGATAGTTTGTGGTTGCACAATGGTAAGAAATTCAGTACTAAGGACCAGGACAACGATAGAGATAGATATGTTAACTGTGCTACACAATATCACGGAGCCTGGTGGTACAACTACTGTGGCAACTCAAACCTGAACGGGCTGTACAGCTGGTATCGTGTGTATGCTGCTAAATACCCGGTATGGTATAGGTTTGATGGATGATATGCTTTACAAAAAACTGTGATGATGATTAGGCATTAAATAAAATGTTACAATGCCATTAAATACTTTATGTTATGATATTGTCATTTTATTACAAACATACACCTATTCAAATTTTTACTTGAATACGTCAGGAAAAAAAAGTTTAACAGTAGTTTCAGTTGTGTCTTTTTAATTATCAACACACAGTGTACAAATGTCATTTCAAACAATTCACAAAATAAGTATTTGTTACCATTGTGTATTGTATATAAGCATAGCATAATTATAAGCTTTAACAATTCCGAGAATAAGTTTGCTATCAAATGAATTTCAGTAACATTTTATGATCATCAGGCTCATTTCTCCTATTAATTGTTACAAACAAGCTTCCTAATTGGGAGAAATTAAATCAGAAAATTGTTATATGTAGGACCACAGTAGTAAGTCCTGTTTTAATAAGAAGTTTACGTGTGATTTAGGAGCTGTAATATTTTAACATGTCAGTCAGGCTTAAATCGGTAGTAAATTAAATGTAATACATGTAATTTTGTTAGGTAAAAAGAAATTTCACACCAAAAGAATGATTAAGGAAATGATAGATGAATTTTAATAACATCCATTTTAAATTAACTCTTCCACACATGTTTGTTGTAAAAGAATTTAATACTGCTTAGTTATTTAACTCTTTAAGATTTAACAGATACATTTTATTACTAAACAAAACAATTGTGTAAATTTATCATTTTGATACTCAGACACTCACACTGAAATTAATTGGAAATGCATGTACAAACTTTTAGATTTTATTACAAGCTCTATTAATCTTAAAATTACATAACATTTGACAGAGCGTTTCTCTACCAACCCAGAAAACTTTAACGTTCAAATCTAAGTTCTCTCTCTCTCTTTCTACCATCTTGCTTCTATTTTACTGCAAACCGTGCAAAGATTATTTTTTTTAAAAAATGTAGCAAAAGAGTAAACTTATGATACGATGGTAATACAACTCTTATGTGATGTTCAATAATTCTTTTTAAATAGCAATAATTTGCAAAAAAATTATATATCTTTATGAAAACTGTAACAACGACCCTTCGCTTTGTTTGATCATTACAAGAAACCAGTTTTGCTGTCCTAATCTAATATCATTTTATTTTCTAGTTACTACCACAAACAATACTTTTAAAAAATGCAATATCTCAATATCTGTAATACTGAATCACTGAAGAGTTATGAGGTTTCAAAAATTACACACTTTATGAAAAATGTTTTCCAAAGAACTTCGTTCGGCCTGTATCTCTTCTAAGTGAACATACTTTCCTCTACAGTAACATTTCTTTCTATGTGTTTTTATAAAATGTCATTGCAATGAACCGGCAATTCTTTTTTGATAAAGATACTTGTTCTCTAAGGAAGAATTCAGTGATGATTGTGGACAAAGTTTTTATAAAAGGCAAACACGTCTCTCCTCCAGTTGATTGATTTATTGATGGTTGAAGTTCAGATTTTACATGAAGTGCAACGCCAATATCAACATGCAGAGCTCATCACAGATTCCTCAGAAAACCTTCCTGCTAACGTTCAATACTAGAAAAACCACGGAGAGCAACAACCCCCCCCCCCAAAAAAAAAATAACCGGACTTAAAAATCGAATATTTTAATGTAACGCCCTCAGAAGACCTGTCTAGAGGAAGAATGCTTTCAAGGGGCTTATACACAGATTTTGAGTTATTATTTTCACAAATGTTCGGTATAATATCATGATTTAAATTGCATTATTATGCAGAAACTATTTCTCTTGGCGGCTTCGCCGCCTCGGGAAATAGTTTTCTCCCTCAGGGAACCACAAATTTGCTAATTCCCTCGAACCCATTCCCTAACTGTATATTATAGTATTTCACACAGAAATATAATTAGAAAAATATTGAAATTGTTGAAACAACGAGTTTCGGGAGGGGGGGTTGATTGACACATAATTGCACTTTCACAAATTAACCCTTATCTTTAATACTTACGAAAAGTAAAAATTTTATCGTGTATTTATGAAAAAATATTAAAACTATAATCGAGAAAATTCAGAGAAGAAATGTGAGAAAGCAAAACCAACTCACCTGTATTGTCAATCCGTGCTCAATGATGTGTGCTGAGTTTAACAAATTGAACACATCATGTAAAACGCAAACATTAACAATAACAGAGCTCGTACCCTGTTCACCATCACTGTTAAAGTTTTTACGGGTGTGTTCAATTTGTTATTCTCTCACGTTAAAGATTGTGAAGAACCTTGCTTCATATGAATACAGAAATAGGTCTGCTTACAACGGTGCGCAGTTGCTACCCATGGGAATTCCAATAGAATAGAGAAAGAGATACTGTTAATCAAATGTTCAAGTATCATTTTAAAATCACCTACATGTAAAGAGTAATGAAGTTTACAATTAGAATGTTTTTTAATAGAATAATTTTTCAAATGACCAATGACAAGGAAATTAAATTCACGAGTTCCCTTTCTATTTAAAAAGCACATTTCAATGATGTCAAAAATCCTGGACTTTGATTTACCGTTGAAAATGGTTGTATATATACAGTTGAAAAGTCGTTAGATTTAATGTTATTGATTTTGGTAAAATTTTGCAATTTAAAAGTTTCCCAAAGTTCCCTGAATTTTCACAGGAAGAAACAAGACCTTTCAGTTAAAAATGAAAGGCGGCTTTTCAGTGGCCATTCAGTCACTGAATGGAAGGTACATTTCAGTGACATTTCGGCAATAATTTAGGTACCTTTCAGTTACTATTCATTGGACAAATTTTAGTTATCTTTCAGTGACCTTTCCGTCATCTTTCAAAGAAACTTCCCCTCGCCTTAAAGTGACTTGTTTGTCATCTTTCAGTGACCTTTTAGTTTTTATTCAAAGATTTTTTTTACTGGCTTATAATTTGTTAATGATCAGTATAATTAGTAATTATTCAATTTTTTGAATAAAATCATTCACTTCTTAAAGTTATATGTGGCGTATTTTTGATGAGCTCAGACTAAAAAAAATTACAAAGATCTCAAAATCAAGGCTCTGTGAAGTATTCTTGTGAAGTTTAGAAGCAATAACTGAGTTACATTTGTAGTAAATACTCGATGTAGTCTTCAGCTTGAGGTATGGTTGAATGAAAGAGTGTATCATTTTGTGATTAAGAGTAAAACTTATATTAACCGCGTCTATTTCTTTGATGGCAAATTGAAGTTTAAAAAAGGCCTATTGAAGATTAAGAAAAATAGGTAGTTTTAGTTGTATTTTCTTCGGTACAACATGGCGGTTAAAAAAACCCTATGATCTGCAACATCAATAACAAAATACCGATACTGTTTTCGTGTGTCGAGCAATCCAGATTTAGTCTTTCCTTAACTGTTATTAATAGACTACTAGTATTCAAAACTTTCAAAGGGACAGAGTAAAGTTTGATGCTAATGTGATGAAGACCCAATGGTTTTTACTACATAAGATACTCAGTAGTAATGAATGAAAGGTGAGGTCGTATATAATAGGCTTATTGTAAGTCATGTCTATGTTTATATCCCTTTTAAAGAACCCTTTTGTTCAGATAAACACATTACAGTACTATGTAAAAGGCCAATCACATTCAGATTGCTACACTGTAGCCTTGAAATATCCAAGACTACGTGCATTTGATTGCTACCTTATGTAAATGCTGTGTCTAGTTTTGTAATCCAGTTTATTCTTGTTGTCTACGGAAAGCTATACTTAGTGATCTGCTATTAGTAAGATGGTAAATCTTTTTGTAGAATTCTAACGTTCGCCGACAAAGTAGAAAGATCAGGTAAATAAATATAATTGTATAGAAGCTGCTAGCTCACGTAGTTAACAAATAGAACAAATCTCAATACAACTGCGTACAACTGCGTACATGATCTAAATTCTGGTAATGTAAGCAGGTAGGGTCTATATTTAATTGTCACGTGTCACTAGGTGGTGGAGGTGGTGCGGGTGGTGGACTTATAATCTTTGGTGGTGTTCGAATGACTATACTTAGAATGATATGATCACTACCAGCGATAGCAGCTGAAAAGAGAAAAAAAAACAAAAAAAATAATAAAAACAGAGGTTTACATCTGTCTGAAATCTGTTCACTATGAAATTTATGATAAGCCTATCTTTCAGGAAAAAAAATCATTCGAACACAATATATCAAACAAATACAACCATTTTTAAAACTTTGACATTACTGTTCCAAATAAAAGCTTTAATAATTAAGTCTTAATTCTGTATGGTCACTTACCATAATGGTATGGCTTATTGTTATTCGACGTCAACAGAGTTTGAATCTTAGTATTGTCAAATTTGACATCATTTTTCTGTATCCTTTTAGGTAGATAATCTCCCCTTTCTTTATCGCCTGTCTTTACCTTTTTTCGTTTACTGCTGGATGGAGTGTCTGACCTGCTATCGTTGACTTTGCTGGTATCCCTACTTTCACTTTTGATATACTTTCGTTTTATTTTCTGGTTTCTTTCGGTTTTGCTTGCATGTTAATTTTTCATGTAAATCTTTTTTTTTATGTCTTTCAATGGTACATCCCTTCTGCTGAAATGTTCGCCAAGACATTATTAAGTATAAGGTTAACGTAGGTTTGATATATTATCTTTAAATGCGGACTTCTTTTTAACAATCGTTAAATAAACAGAGATAAAATATCTATTTAATATAATATTATCATACATATATGTAAACAAGGATTTGATTAGATGTGTGTATTTTGCGGTTTGTAAGAGCGAGAAAATGTGTTCTTACCTTTATCTTGTTTTTTCGCTGCTAATCAATGGCCGATGTTAGAACTAAATAACATCGTCTTAAAATAGACATGTTTTCAATACGTATAAATTTATTTTCTTCCTGTATCATATTATACTATTCTGTCTCCTTTATATCTATAGAAAATTTATTTAAAACCGAGGTCATTAAAACAAAATTGAAAAACATTCTTATTGTGTAAAGAAATTGGCAAACTTCCATTTAAAATAACTTTTTTTTAAAAAAATGATAACGACAGGAATAATAAAGAGGTGTATCTTTACGTGACCTTTTCAATAAGTCAACCAAATTTAAATATCATATAAAAATATTTAACATACGTCAATCACAATATTGCAAGGGGTTATTTCAAAACATTTAATATTCTACTCCTGTTTCATATTAAACCTACCAGCCCCCTTCATTAGAGTGTCTACGTTTCATACTTCCACAGCATTGAAATATCTACTTTGATATGTTGTGTAAATTGTTCCTATAATTGCCACATTTTGCTTCTCATATATAACAAATAAGCTAATATCTTCCTTGAAAAAATAGAGAATTCACGTACAACCACTTCAAGTAGACTCTCAACAATGATTCTTTTAAGAATATTCTAAATTTGAATGTTTACGAGGTATTCGGTATATAACTTGTATATTTCTAAAGCATTCGACTTAAATATAGAAAAATTGCACCCCTTCAATGTATTATTTGATACATATTTTCAATCTGATTTAGGTAGACTTCAAAAGCTAAAATTAATGTTCGAGTAAAGGGCTTGTCGGGACTTAAGGACAGATGATACAAACACATTTTTTCTTTGAAAAAGATTTAATATCATGTCACAAGTTTAGAAAAGTGGATGGTTTTTAGAATTTTTTTCTCCGAAGAACTGGAATATTAAAAAAAAACTTGGAAATTATTAGTAATACTTCAATGAAAAAACAAATATAGACAAATCACATTCAGTAAAGGTTTGCAGGTGAAAACAAATTTCAGAATATGTTACCTTGGTGCAAAAAGTGCAATATAAACTTTAGAAAAATATTTCAAGCCAGGTAAATTGTAAGAGGAAGATCAAAATGACAAGAAAATTAGCATTATAACATATGCTGATTTTTACCATTTAACTTTTCCTAATAAAATTCACCTGGCTTGGTATATTTTTCTTAAATGTTTTCTTATATTTTTTCTAAAACAATTCACTTTTCTAAACCTGTGACATGAAATTAAATCGTTTTCAAAGAAAAAATATGTTTGTATCATCTGTCCTTAAAATGGGGACCACAAAAAAACTTTTCTTCTCTCAAACGTGAAACATACATGTATCAGGAGTACTCAAGTAACTATAAGTTCTATTTTTAGGCTATTATTTTTATTGGACTTTTTTTCACTAATCAAAATTAATTGTAATAGAACTAATTTAATCATAATACATGCTTTTGATTTGATGATAACATTAAAGATTGGGAAGGGTGTCGAATATGAAAAGCGGGTTGTATGCCTTTAGCTTAAGATCCATTCGTTTGAAGTACCATGAACGAGGGCAAAATTGACCTGAGATCTTGAGGTCATTAAAGCAAATGTAATAGGCTGCTTCCGCTTCAAAATCATATTTTCGCACTTTCTACATTGTGTGACTAATAGACAAGTATGTATATACTAATCATAATCTGCTTCTAGTACTTTTAAAAAATATACGTCATCTAAGCAATTGATATTTCGGATTTCAAATAAAAAAATACTATTGAATTGTTGTTTTGTTACTTACAAAAGAAATAATGACATACATTCTAAAGAAACCAGTTAGTTTTTTTTTCAAAAATAGATTTCCTTATCCTTAAAATCTTTATCAAAATGAACAAACCAAAGTTTAAGGTCACTGGCAGGAGGGCTTTGCATTCATTTACTGTCTTTTTACTCTTGAAACATTTCAATTTGATAAACCTACAAGATTGTTTACAACCTTAGAATGTTTCATGACCTTTACTCAAGGTTACTTCGTCCTTTCCGGAGCTCCGACGGGGGAACAACTCATTGCTTTGCAAAGAGCTAAGTTCTAGTTTCTTTATCTTGTTTTGTGACTCTTCTGTCCATTCATATTACTATGGAGTTTAAAATCTCAATAACAAGGAGCGAATGGTACTCTGAATGGGTTTAAAGCTTCAAAATTAACAGAGGGGAACGACATTTTTTCAGCTATCTTTTGTGATTTTAACTCACTAGAGGGTCCCATCTTTCATACTCAGCAATACACAGTTATTATCAAGAATTCCAAATAAGCAGTAACTAAAACCAGAATAGCTCCAACATCTTCAACTCAATGTTATTGCTAAGATGTGGACCTTTTTTAGGCACTTAGGTATTTTTAACTCCGATTTTGATAATTTGTTCTTCCCATGCACTAGTAAAGGATGGCCGCCATAGTCAATTGTCTTGTGCTCCTTAATTTCATTTTTGTAACTATTGTCTCCTTTGGATCTACTACTTGTACTCTGTCAATTATAGCAAGGCTAATTGCGTCACAAAGATACGTTAACATGTGTACTCAGCAGTATTGTTATATAATTGTGAATTACATGAACATCAGTTTTTACTTAATTATGCATCGCTATGTGGTTAAATTGATTTTTGTTATTTAATTATATACACTCTTAACTACGGATTTTATGTTGCTTTCCCGATCATGAAAAGGATTTTAAATTAATATTCCGACAGCATGTGGGGTGGGGGTGGGGTTACAATTTGAAAATTTTATGCATCAAACTTTGATTTCAAGAAAATTGACATCTCATAACTCCGTTCCCTACATATTGTATATTTAATGACTACTGTAAATAACTAACATGCAAAAATGTTTTAAAGATATTATACAGGTATTTTTCGTAAATTTTAATTACATTATTAAAATGATGATTTCTTTAATAAAAATCAATGTAACTTATTGATTATTAAATTTATTTTGTTAACTTTTTTGTTGTCTATCGTGAAAGTGATCTAAATCACTCAAAGTGGTTTTTATTACTTTACAAATTGCAGTCATTCGAGAAATTGACATTGTGACATAAACTGTAATTCTGATTTAAAGATAATGTTAGAAATGACGCAAAATTGATGGATATATGTTAACCGAATTCTATATTTCGTGAAGGACAAAAGAAAACTGACATGAATAACAAATTATAAACAGATATGTTAACCGAATTCTACATTTCGTGAAGGACAAAAGAAAATTGACATGAATAACAAATTATAAAAAGATGACTTCTTTAGTACACTTTAGTACACCCGATACACAGGACACATTTCGAAGCACGCCGGATTTCTTTCTATACAACAGATTAGAAACTTCAAATTAAAATGTAACACTGTAAATATCTAATTTTAAATATTTACTTTTTTAGTAGTAGTGCTAGATAATTCCTGTTTCTTTGTTTCCTTTGTTTTTATTACTTCTTAACTTTTTTGCCTTAGGGAAGGGATAGATCGTCCTGAAATTTTGACAATTTTTATTGTTCGTGTCTTTGTTTATTTTAAGTGATTTACATGAATTTCCATCCGTGATCTTGTATCTACTTAGTAGACCCGACACTTAGGATATACAGTGTTGTTAATATTTTACTAATCTTCAGAAGACAGTTAGCAATAAGAAGATAAAAATCACCTTTTGCGTAGTTTGTTGAGATATATTACAATGTTGTTATTAAGTCAGACTCATTGTTTATTTTGTTGGACATCAAATTATTTGTTCTTGGCTAATGGTAACCGAATTCCACGGATAAAAAAGACAATATTTGCGTCCTAGATAAACTGAAAACAGATGAGATTTGCTGCTATATATATATATATATTGATAACTTTTATTGTCATCCTATCATTTGCACACTCTACTGTATTGAAACATTTTAAAAACAATGATGTTTCCACTTATAGTAGTGTATATTGTGTGTTTAAATGAAATACTTGCTAACCAGTCCCTTACAGACAAAACGTTGATGGACAATTCGATACCTGATACTACGTCTGGTAGAGTTTCTAATATTTTACTGGGCATTCTGAATCAAGAAAGTTTAGTTCGATTCTCGATGGTTCAAAAAATTCAGAATCTGGAGAAGGATGTGATTGACAACAAAAACAGCACTCGTTACACAGAGAAAAGACTTAACGATGTTTTAAAAGAATTACAGACGTCAGAGGAATGGCATCAACAAATAAGGAGAGAAAATCTTAAATTACAAGAGGACTTACATACCCTGAATGAGACACTGGACAATATTCGAGAGAATGTAAATCAATCAATATCTCAATTATCTGATGGGATATCCAGAGGTAAGTCAAACGTTATTGTAATCAATTGAAATCAATATTATACAATTATTGCTGTTTTTTTTAGGTCAATACAATGATTTAGCCATCTGAGGAGTACAATATTCACCGCGCCCGAAGGGCGAAGTGAATATTGTACTTCAAAGATGGCAAAATCATTGTATAGACTGAAAAACAGCAACAATTGTTTTTTTTTTTATATATATGATTTACTGATAAAATGATACAGCTCATTACTTGTTTGCATTTAATTAAGTCGAAGCCAAATACAAGAGAGAACGGAATTAAAATGTTAATAAACCTTACCAGTCGTATCAATTTGAAATTTAGTTGCCATTAAAAAATATATATATAATGTCTTTTTAATAGGAAAGATTTTGAAAGGAAGGAGTATTGTCAGGGAAAACTGACTGCCAAAAAGTAAAAAAAAAATATTGTTCAGTAAAAGTATTGGAGGGAGGTCAATGGATCCCCTCTTACCATCCTCACCCTAAAATATATATTCGCTTATATTTTGTTCACATGAAAAAAAAATCATAGTCAATTAAACAGCTTTCCAAAACAATTTGTATCAATTTGGAATTTCCAAATATATTATTAGAACAATGTAGAGGAAATAAATCTTTGTATTGACCTAGAACGTCACGTGCAGGTCAATACAGCGTAGTATTTTTCTAACATAGTTGGATCTCAGCCAATCAGAGAGATGGAAATTATTCAGTCATATAATAATATACATTTATTGCATGATAGTGAGGTAAATATGAAGATCTCATCTACTAAGAGGGCATTTGGACTTCACAGGATTTGATCACGTGACTAACCCACTTCATTTTACACTGAAGTTTTTAAACTTAAAAAAAATAAGAGATGATGTTTTAAAGTTTGTATAACATTGTTATCTTTTGAACGAATTAAATAGATTAATGATTCCTATAGTTATACATAGGAAATCGATGTTTTAAAGAATTTAAGATAATTCACTATTTCTCCTTATAATAAAGTTGCCCGCGTGGCACAGTGGTCAGAGCGTCTGCTCTAGAGTCACGAAATAAGGAGTTATGTAAAATTTCTGAAACGAGGTAAATTATTGACAAACAAGTTGATGAAACAAGAATATGAGCAGTCTCGTTTCACGTAACATTTCGTAAGTTCTATGGTCGATACAATGACCTTGACAGCAAATACAATTTATCTGATTCAAATGCTGACATGTCTTTCATACCACCAGGAGTAATTGTTATTCCATTATTTACACACTGAATTAACAAATTGACGACGGAATTTCCGTTATTTACTGATCATGACAAGGAGCACACGGCAGGTGGGACATAATGTATTTTTTTCAAGGCGATTAAGACAACAAATAAACTTATTTATAATATTATTTCCAACTATACGATCATTTAATATTGTAATCTAAAATATCGAATCAACAGAGAGCATAAACCCCATATGCGGGCGATAATGGTATATTGCTAAAAAAAAGTTGACGATTGAAACGTTGAAGCCACAATTTTGTTGCAATGTAACCATTTACGTTTTTTTTGTAAGAAAAATATCAAAATATGAAACAGATGTTTCAGACTTTGTAGTATCGTTTATTTCAAGCTCGCCCGAATATATCGATGCGAAAAATGAATGGAATAAAATATAAAGAGCATGCTCTACGTATGAATAATTTCTAAAACGAGGTAAATTATTGACAATCAAGTTGATGAAACAAGAATATCAGCATTCTCGTTCAAAATCATCATTTCGTAAGGTCTTTGGTCGATACAGTTATCTTATCAGCAAATGCAATTTATCATTGAGTCAAATGCTGACAAACTTCCAAAACGTCATAGGTGGGATCAGGTGCCATGGAGGAGTGAGCATCCCCTGCTGACCGGTCACACCCGCCGTGTGCTCCTTGTAATGATCGTTTGTTGTGAGGTGTGTTGTATTTGTATTGTTTCATCATGTCTATTATTAGTAACATTAAGTTTCTTGAACATTCCAGAGTGGTCAACATGTTCGGTCATTGTTTCTAGAACATTCCTGAACTTTGTGTATGTCCAGAACTTTCCAGTAATATCATGTACTTACAACTTCTAGAATATTCTAGATTTCTAATACTGTATAAATACCCTGTCAATTCGATGCATAGATATACTTTGGTCGTACAAGCATCATTGAGGTATTACTGGGACATATTTTCACTGGGACATTGTGTGCAGTAACGGACACTCTGATGTATGTATTTTTAGATTCTTGCTAAGTTTGTACTTTATGTTTCATATACTTATAATATATTACTGTAAATAAATTATTGTTAAGTTTAAATTGTGTTATTGATCTTTGCTGGCATTTAGGGTTATTCTGACCCATAACACGTTAAATAACTGGAAAATCTGTCGTCAATTCAGTGTATAAATAATGGACTAACAATGAGTATTAAAAACGTCAGTCTGTGCTCTGCTCCCGATTCGTAATTCTTTATGGACTTTGATATTGAATACTGTTCGTTATATCCATATCCTTTATAGAGATAATGAACAGTATTCTAGCTTAAAATTCCATTAAAGATACTAAATAGGAGATTCGAAAATACGGACCTCCAACACATTAGAGGTGAATCAGGTGCCATGGAGGAGAAATCATCCCCTGGCGACTTGTCACATCTTCCGTACGCTCATTGCCGTCGTGAAATAACGGAAAATTCCGTCGTGAATTCATTTGTTAATAATGGCCTAATAATTAGTATTTGACTTAATGATTGTAATTGCTGAAGTCAGTCAGCATTTCATTTAATGATAACTTGTATTTCCTTTCAAGGTCATTGTATCACGCATGAAATTTACGAAATGTTTTACACTAAAATATTAGCTGTTGAATATTTATTTTTAAATGACACTGGGTTACTATAAAATGAAACTTGTTCACGAAGTTTTGTTACACGTTTTGAATAGTAGATCAGCATCCTCAAATCAAATTGAAAGTTTACAGGTATATCAAAATTGGTATTTTCTTTTTAGTCTTGAAATGAAAAATATTGTATGTGAACTCAAAAAAGCTAGCTTCATATTGAAGCGGTTTTGGAGCACACAACAATGCTCTAATTCATAAAAATATCGCTTACATATCATTTATTGCTACGGCTCGCTAGTTTGTAGCGCTAATTCATGAATACGCCAACAAAACAATACCCAGTAATTGCGCTAAATTTCGAATACGCCAATTTATGTACACGAACAGTTTAACTCTGATTCTCATTTTAAAACATTATTTATGGTATGATTCTTTGTTTGTTTAGTTATTGTTATTGTGGTTTATGTTCATTATTCTCTCAATTTCTCTCGATATCGAAAAATACTTAATATGTTTATTGTGATTTTTTTCAGTTGATTCCAAAGTACTCCCAAGGTATTGCTATGATATACTGAAAAAATATCCAAACGTGAAAGGGAAAGATGGCGTCTACACTATTTTTACCGGCTTGAGTGTCGCTTCCGTTTACTGTGACATGACGACGGACGGAGGTGGGTGGACGGTAAGTACGATATATCACGCGGAAACAGGATTTTAAAAGTATACAATAGGTTTTATTTTGAATAGGAATCTTGTAAACACTTTTCTTTAGTATAGAAATTATCATCATTATTAATTATTAAGGAATGATGCCTGTATAATTTACTTTCAGTGTAGACAATAAGAGAATGTTTTAATCCAAAAAAGCTTCGAATTGGGAATATTTTAAAATTAACGTCAAGCAGAGGAATACGTATTTGACGTAAATCATTGTGACGTAGGCAACTTATTTTATACGATACAAACTAAATCTTTTATCCAATCAAATGACGTGTTACAACTAATATTAGATCATCATAAAATATTTCAATATTTGATAGTTGTACAGATTCGTTATCAAATATGGAAAAAAGAAAGATAGGCCTATTTGATAAATGATAATACCCTTATCAAACTTTACTACAAATTGATATAGTCTAATATCCTTAAATATGGTTAACTTTATCAAATACTTTGATACTCTGATTAGTTCTCAAACTTTACTTTATAATTTTTCTCGTGAGATACGTTAAATACTTTTGGGGTGAAAATGTATCTTATAGATATGATAATAGATATCATGGACAGAACATCTTTTATATTCAACTTAAAGATGTTCACCATGTAAATATATTAATGTACAATGAAATTTGGAGAAACCGAACAGTGTTGAAGCTCAAAAAGCCTATTAACGAGGCCCGGTTTAGTTGAAAATTATAAAAACTGACAGATAAAAAATTTTAATTTTTGGAAATAATATTTATATACATTGTGCTAAGAAAAAAAATGAAATATTGTTAGCTTGCCTTCATTGTAATGAAATGGGAGCAATTTCAAAATATTGACCAATTTTCGTGATTTTACACACAATTATATAATAAAACTACCTACGAGACGAAGGAATTGACAAATAAAAAAAAAGATGTAATGTTTTGCTTTTCACATATATTATGCAATATCCATTCCTAATTTTTAAAAAAAATGAAAAAAAAATTGGGAGTAGTTTTTATTTCGGAGAAAAGGGGGCTTATCAAAACACAAAATAGGACTCATTTTATCTAACTAGGTATTTTATTAGTCGCTGTCAGTTTACATAACATCACCAAATGGTTGTTATACTATATCAGTTTCTCACTACTTCTTACATTATGAAAGAATTTCCCTTAATCCTCTATGTTGTTTAACACACAGTGTTCTTTTTGTGGATAAGGGGGAGGGGGAGCGACAAAATTACGAAATTTAGTAATATCCTGTAATATAGAGAAATCTGAAATATTTTTAAGGGTTGCATTTAAATGATTCATAAGAAGGCTTAGACAATATATCAAGGATAAAGACTAAATTCATTCAATTTTGGTTGTAGTGATTTTTTTAAAACTCGAAAATTAAAATGAAACAAGATAAAACTGATGAATCTATCATAAAAATTGATACCTCGAAAATTAAGAGAAATGCCAGAATGATCAAGCTTTCAACATGACGGTCTATAACAGGTATGAAGAAAAGCGAATTATTTTAGCGCAATTTCACGTCATTTTAACTGTGACGCTTTTGTATTCAATTGAGACGGCAATTAATTGCATTGTGATGCGTCTGAAACGATGCTGCGTGTAAACAAAAGCGCAGATCAAGTAGATTGGGCCTCGTTAAAACAAGAATATCCGAGAGCAGTGCAAACATGAATCTTTTAAACATGGAAGTGAGATCAGGTGCCATGGAGGAGTAAGCTTCACTTTATATTTTAACTTCAATGCTCATAATACCTTATTTATGTATCTGCATTGAGACCCTTAGCATGCTTCAATACTTCTTTGATATTATTTGTTTGAAGTGTATTTAAGGTTCGCTCTTGTATTTAAGCCGGTTATTAGCTATGTACACGAAATCAATTTCAAATATTTCGTACATCCTGTCACGTAATAAAAGATTTTTTTTTCAATTTTTATTAACATTAGGTTTTACAGAAAAGAACAGATGGCTCAACTGATTTCTATCGGATTTGGGATGAATATAAATATGGTTTTGGTGATCCAAAGGAAAACTATTGGATTGGTGAGAATTAAGACTTTTTTAAGAAACTTTAACCGTGAAGTAGTATGTAAGCATATAGGCATATCATTTCTACACAAAGCATAATTTTTTAAGCATTGGTTATTAATAGTTGCACTCCTAAGAGTCATATTCAACTAAATTGAGAACCTAATTTGAAAATTACTACATATATAAGTGATACATTTTAATATCATTAATTCGCTAAAACTTCTACTTTTACAAATACTCAGTAAGATTAATCTGTTTCAGCTGGATAAATTTCACAATTTAATTGAATTGTATAAAAGTAATCTAAAATATAAGAAATGGTAAATTTCTTTAAAGTTTAATGTTTTGTTTTATTAATTCTATATGGCTACAATTAGAACAGATTATACACTTTTTGTGATTGTTTTAACTTTATAAAAAAAAATCAGGTTTATATAAGCTAAATGAAATTAAAGCGCGGATATTATGATTCTTTATCAACGTTTATAAAGTCCCACACATTATCTCTTTTTTCTTACGAAACATTTCTTTAAAAAAACATTGGTTATTTTGGGGACGTCAATTTACTTAAAATAATTATGAAATTGCAAAATAAATAAATCCAGTTGGTCATATTTCTGGATTTCTTATATTTATCATAAAGGGAATGATGCAATCCATGCTTTAACCAAAGATCAGGACCAGGAACTGCGAGTAGATCTCCAGAGATTTAATGGGGACACAGCGTATGCTGAATATTTCACGTTTTATATCGGAAACGAGGCTGATAAATACCAACTCACGGTGTCCGGTTACACGGGAAATGCAGGTAATTGATTTTTATTGGAAGAACGTATTTAAAGGCCCTGTTGCAACGCTTTTGTTACTTATTAGAGTCTGAGGTTTATCTTCGACAGCACAATACCATACTCTGTGGATATAAATGTAGAATAAATGCTGATATTTAAAAAAAAAAGCATTATAATTGTAATATCATAATAAACATCAATTCATTTCAGCTGGTCAAAACAATAACAATGAAACATTACAATGATTAGTTACTTATCGTTCTTTAAAGACATCCTTTGAACATCAGTTAGGTTAACGTGAATTGATTTTATTTTATAAGAGTAGACATTATATTACATTGTATACGCATAAACGATGAATTTGCTAACAGTGTAGATTGTAAAACACAATTTGCTCTGCTTGCAGAATGTAAATAAAAAAGACATCAAATTTTTTTTTCATACTTATTAATTAAATACTGGATAACAATTTGTTAGATTTACTCATTTGTGATAGATATAGACTCGAATTCCTATTATATTTTTTTTAACTTAATTCAACTAAACGTTTTTCTAATACAAATCGGGTTTATTTAGTCGTGTCAGATGTGCTTACAAAATTCTAAATGGCGGTTTTCATATCTTCAATGAAATTAATTATTAGATATGCAAAGGAATTAGATTATATCCAGTTTTTAATTCTCAACCCCCTAAAAAATTTAATAGATCTGTGAAAAGGGCATAAAACACATAAGTTTAAGATGTGTTGTAAAATGTCCTTTTTCAATTAAAAAAAATTGCTAAACAAAGAGTATGAGTAACGATCTTTAAATACTTAGTAAATCTTATGTCCAAATGACTCTATCTAACTTTGATTCTCAATGACCGGGTAATGTAAGGAGAGGCCGCAAGTATTCAATCGGCATCGAAATATATACACATGGAATAGAGTTGAAAATTTGTTTTTACCTGTTTTACTCATAATTCTACACATATACAGTGTATCAGTTATTGTTTCCAATTCCTGCTGTTGTTGACAGTTTGGGTCCACATAATGGTATGAGATTCAGTAATTCTACACGTATATCAGTTATTGTTTTCCATTCCTGCTGTAGGTGACAGTTTGGATCCACATAATGGTATGAGATTCAGTAATGCTACACATATATCAGTTATTGTTTCCCATTCCTGTTGTAGGTGACAGTTTGGGTCCACATAATGGTATGAGATTCAGTACAAAGGACCAAGATAATGATAAAGCCAGTTACAACTGTGCTATAAATCGTCATGGAGCATGGTGGTACAGTGCTTGTACAAACTCAAATCTTAACGGGAAGTATGCTCTGTCTGCAGTGACTAGCTATAAAAGTCCGTTTTGGTATCGCTGGACAAACGAATATAGAGCACTACAAAGGACTGTTATGATGATAAGACACAAACGCCCGAGTTAATGGAAAAGCAGTCCTACATGTACATAATGATTTTCTGTAAGAAATACAAGGAACCTACTTTCAATGACTTATTTGTGTACTTTCTAGTGTTTATACTCTTTTTTGTGATGGACAACAATCTTTTTTTTCTGAGAACGACATGGTAAAACACTCCCACAGTTTATAATGAATTAACATTTACAAGAAAGTTAATTCCAATTTCCCATGAGTTTGAAAGTATTGTTATCTAAAAGAATCTAATAAATTATGTTTGTACTCAAACAAAATTGTTTGTTCCTTGCTCTTTGCTTTATGTAAGTTTGACAGTATACTAGTATTTCGCCCTCTAAATATGAACAATATATAAATTGCTTTGACAAACAATACACAATAAGGACAGGTTTTGTACATTTATTGTATATACATATTTTAATCTGTTAAATGTATTCGAAAGCTTAATATCACTGCTCAAAACCCTAAGTGCCGAATACAGGTCAATATTTGAAGTCCTCCACAAGGCAGTGGTGGCGCCCGAGACGGCATGAATTATCTTCGAAAGGCCGTAAAACGTGACATGGAAACAAACAAATCTAACGATCAATACATTTACATCAACATCTATCAGTGCTCTCAGTATTTTGATTATCAGCTGATCCAGCATATAAAACACATGGCTGATTACCTTAGAATATCTGCAATATTTCAGAATTGACCTTGTTGTGTTTTTTAACAAAGACAATATACACAAAATCTTAGTTTCCTTTAGACATCAAAGCTCTTTCTTTGTAACTTTTATATTTCTAAGCAAATACTTTTTCTCATCATGTTTTGTTTTTCATTAGTAATTTATTTTTATCCGAATTCATAAATAACCTTGTACCAAAGAAAGACTTTAAATGATCATTCTGTCTTATCTCTTTTTCTTTTGAAGATAAACATTCTTTCATTTTTTTATATTGAATAATGAAAACCAAACTCCAATTACAGTTAATTGAAACAGATGCTTAATTTGTTTCAATATACTAGTATGCCAGAGATAATAAATCTTTTTGATGTTATATAACTTATATATATATATATATATATATATATATATATATATATATATATATATATATATATATATATATATATATATATATATATATACAATACTATAATTCAATATAAACAGTTTCTTCTTGATTGGACAACCAACGGGTATCTCCCGTACACAAATTTCTTCTTGTCCTGCCACTCCACAAGCACTGTATCCTTGCACTTCCCCCACCTTTATTTGTGGTGTGCCATCTCTCTAAATATATGACCAAGTGGCTGCCTTATTCAGATCTTACGCTTTGGTTCACTATTAAACACTTAGCCGTCTATTCCCCGCAGCCGCCTGTCTTATTCAGGTCTTATAACGGCATATAGGAGACGAAACGAACTAACGTTTATCAACTCCGTCACCAGAGAGGTCTCAGAATAACTATGATACACCTTGTATTATCTCAGTGCAGTCCGCGTTCAATGGCAGTCTCATACTACTTGTATGATCGTAAAATTAATATTTTTTAGTGTTTAAGAAATGAAAAGAAAACGTAGGTCTAAGTTTTGTACGAAACTAACCAACAACCATTTCCGTTTCAGCACTAAAACATGCGCGGATCCAGAACTTTTTTCCGAGGTGGGGGTTGGACATACCTACATTACTTTTTAAAATTTTACTTTAAAAATGTTTGACATAATTTGATTATAAATTGGCTCTTTATTTAAATCTAATGGATTATTTAATCGCAATCATTTGTTCTGTGAACCAAGCACGCCCCTATCGCCTTTAGAGAACCATCGGTAAACAATTTATAATTAAATTATCACCACTTTCATATTTTAGAAAAATACAGGGCTTAATTTGTTTTAAAACTGTACCTGCTTCTGACAGAAAACATTCATGTTTACAGTCTCAATAAGAAAATAATTTTTAGTCTTTTTTAATTAAATTTTCTGATACTGATACTGATTCTGATATCAATCTTTTTTCCAAACCAGAATTTAAAAAAAAATTCATGGAAAATAGTATCCAAATTTCTTTCATATATGCAAAAGAAGAAACCCGATCAAGGGTTTCGTTAACCGAGACTTCCAATATATTTCCAACAACATTTCAACACGAGTAGTAGGCCTTTCAACTGCCACTAGGGGTCGGTTTTATGAACGATAACTCACTGTTGAAACATGTTGAGAGCAGGCTCGGGGTATCTAACTGTTTACACGCAAGGCAGTTTTTAGCATTTTTGCTCTCAGTAGAATCCAGTGGCTTTAAAATGTAGCACCAATGTTAAACTTATTTACTGTATAGTTGCGGACACCATTTCACTTCATATAATTAAAAGTTTTAATCAAAATAAAAAGTGAAATCTACCCTCCTTCTAAGTTCTAACCTTATTAAATTTTTATACTCGGTCGTTCCCCTTCGTGCTTAGTAACACTAGTAAGATGATCAATTGCTGCATTTACTTGTAAAAATATATATATTTGTATAGGAAGCGAAAAAGCGCGAAAATAAAAAATATGACATGAAATTTTCTTCTTTATACTAATCGTCAAAGAGAGTTAAAAATATTGAATATAGACTGTTCCCCATCTATTTGACCCTGTTATTTCAGGTAGAGTGAAGGCATTCTCTTTCTCATGGTCAACACTTTTGTGTACAAAACATTGTAAGGAACCCTTTTGTGTACATAACGATACCAATGCTGAAGCAGCCTATATGTCATTCCTATAAACGATAACTCATAATTCGGCACTAAGTTGGTCATTTTTCACACCTGAGTTACCTATCCTTAAAACACAACATCGGAAAAGTCAATTGTAAATAATTAAACTTTTTATTGATGTAATTAAATGTATGCATAAGTTATTATCTTTTTGATAATTTCATGTACCTATAAATCTATCTATGCAATGTTTTTTACCATATGTGCAACTTGAAAAATTAGTTGAAAGGCCTACGAGTAGGTTATCCTGCATCATTCACGACAGCAAGGACTTTATTTCTATTCTACTTAGAGATCTAAAATACGGCTGATCGTTTCATCTATAGATAATTGAATTAGGTCACCATGTCGTGTTACGCTATTCCATTTAACATCAGAGGAGATATGTGTTTGTATACCTGCAATGCATACGATTTAAGCTTATGTTGAATCTAAAATAGACATTAATCAATAACAAATTTGTTCGTAGCATATATAGGTAAATTTTATGAATATAAAATTATAAAATCCTTCTTATGTTGAATCTAAAATAGACATTAATCAATTACAAATTTGTTCGTAGCATATATAGGTAAATTTTATGAATATAAAATTATAAAATCCTTTTTATAAATTTTATTGCTGTTAGTGGGACTAAAATCACGGTGTTTAAATTGTGTATGGAGGTCTGTGAAACAGCCCGCTTAGCTATAAAAATCGACATTCATCAGCAACTTTTTGCAATTTACATTGTTTATACTGCAAATGACGACACATCGATGTAGTCAAAACACGTATTTCATTCTGCAGTCAAATATACATTTGAACTGTACTGGTTTGTTACGTGATTCTGAGTTGATAATGTTTGATGACTTTTGGATTTATTGGAGGATAATATCCGCGACATGCCTTTGACCTCGGCAATAATAGTGGTACGTGGAAATGGTAAAAACGAAAGTATTCAAGATCAAAAGTCCATTTAACAATACAAAATAGTAACAGAGAAAACTCAGACCTCTAAAAGTCAGAGGTGGGATCAGGTGCCACAGAGGAGTTAGCATCCCCTGCCGACCGGTCACACCCGCCGTGTGCTCTTGTCATGGTTGGAGAAAATCCGACAAAATTTGATTCGTCGGTCAGCATATAATTCCAAAAGGGATTGAATATCGGACAATAAATCCTATACACGATTATATGAGTATAGTTTGATTAACATTGAAGTGTACCTGTGCCCTGAACAAGTATATGTATCAATTTAACATTTTATTTACATAATGCTTCGGATATAATGTGGAGATTTTTTAAATTACGTTCCCTAGTTTAAAAGGACGAGATTGTGTATGAAAAATTCTCGTAGCCTCCGAAGTAAAGTCTGTTTACCCTGACGTAAATAAACATATATACCGATTTTTTTTTTTTTTTGTTATTACTGGAATTAATGGTCACAGCTATTGCAGAAAAAAATTACATAACCCGCCTACGCGGGTTATGTATTTTTTCTGCAACAGCTGCTTCCGTTAATTCCAGTAATAACAAACAAAGAAAACATTTTATTGTTTAAATAAACAATCTAAATATATTGCAATGGATATGATAAACAACGATACCTCTTCCAAACTGTGAAATTCCTGATCCAATTGTCGGAGGTTCCGGTGGAAGGCGGTGGGGTTTTTTTTAAAGAGAAAATGCATTATTTCTTTGAAAATATTTATTTTTGTCTCTTGCTTTAAATAAAAAAACTAATTGTATATTATGAAAAAAAAGAGGTCTTAATCCAGAATTGTGCGTTTTATTGCCCCTGGGTCAGATATAGACCAAATCAACAACTTAAAAACTTACGACTTTTCAACTCTATACACTTTTCCCAACGATAAATTAACGCCGGGGTTTTTGATGTAATTGACAGCTGCGTTTTCAATAAAAATTGAATTCATAGATTTACTTACCTCGTATCATTTACCTTGCCTCTACCTTTTATGACCTTGTCATTTTCAAAATCATTTTGTTTAAAAAACATTCAGATTGTACACACAAGTACTCTGAAAATGACATCAGAAATGTGTTTGAGTTGGTGATTGACAATACGAAGGTTGTCTTAAAATTCCGTAGACAAGCGTTATTTTATAGGACCCCAAAGGCACATATTAATGAAATGTTGTACATAGGTTAGACCAACACTAACTAATGAATTAATGGTAAAATATGGAATAACCACTCAAAATAGTCTTATTAAAATGATACATTTCATTGTCTGTTATAGAAAGGTCTAATTTTGTTACAACATGATACTGACATAACTTTATGAATATTTGTTTTCTTTTATCTTTTTTTAAATTTACATTATGCATTTTATATATACATGAAGCAGAATTCATGCAAAATCTTATGCGTGAAAAAATGAAAACACTTGCTGTGGCCTTCAACTCGACATTTAGCCATATTGTCAATTAATAATGGTAATTTCCATTCCTTCGTCGATACGATATATCCTGGTGAGCTCGAGATAAAAGATACCACAGAGTCTGACACATCTGTTTCATATTTGGATATTT